CACCACGCCCAGCCCCTGTGTCAGTGATTTTATTTCTCCTCCTTCTTTGGTTTTCTGTAAAATGCTTGACTAGTCTGAGAATATGGAGGATATTAATACTAAAGAATACAAAATAAAACAATTTATTCCTTTTTGATATTGATGCATTGTCCTATAACCTGTCAAAATCTTTTTTTTTTTTTTTTGTCTTTTTGAGACAGGGTCTCACTGTGCAGTTCAGGCTGGCCTTGAGCTCACTTTGCAGCCCAGGCTGGTCTCGAACTTGCACTGATTCTTCTGCCTCAGCCTCCGGAGTGCTGGGATTACAGGTGCCAGCACTTCTGACTCTATACTGGCAAAATCTTTAATGCTGTAATCATTCAGACTCAGATGATTATCACCCCTTGAGATAAATATTTAATGTTTAAATGATGAACTATATTAGAAAAGGTGTGCTTATCAATGTAGAATACTAACATAAAAATTAAGAATTTTATAAAAAAATCCCAATAGTTAACACTTTTAATACCTAACCACAAATGCATTTACATACACAAAGTGTGCTCCCAGAGAGGAAGCAGGGCATGGCATGAGGAAGTTACTCTTTTTTTTTTTTTTTTTTTGGTCTTTTTGAGACAGGGTCTGGCTATGCAGTTCAGGCTGGCCTTGAACTCACTTTGTAGCCCAGGCTGGTCTCGAACTCTAAACAATCCTCCCGCCTCAGCCTCCCCAGGCATGCACCACCACACCCTGCACGAGGAAGTTACTCTTAAAACACTTCCAAATTCTCAAATTTCAGCTTTCATTCAAAATACAGCCAGCTGTTCCAACCAGGAACAAAAAAGTGCAGGTAACTGACATCATGGCCCCCTCCAATTCTGAAAACTTGAAAATAACACTCCATACAATAAATTTGTACCTTAACAGATAACTTAGATTTAACGATATTAAATAAATTTATATTGAAATGCTATCATTTGATCTGTTAAATCCAGACTCCTGAATACAAACCTATACCTTGTACTTTCTTCAGAGGCAATTAATTTTTCTTCTAAAATGTTATATCTTGCAGTTGTTTCTATTTGTGAACACATTTTAACTGTGTGAATAAATTTTTGGTTACAGAAATATTATAAATTTAACTCAAACTTCCCAGAAATGTTTAGTGGTTTGTTTGTTTTTCTGATTTTGATTTAATTTTATTTCCAGAAATGTTTAGTGAATCGAATTATCTATGCTGACAACTTACCTAGTTGTTCTGTTATTCAGTCAAAACTTTCTGGATTGTGCTTCACCAATATTTTCACTCAGTAACAGTTTAAGTTTAAATGTTTAAAAGTTTAAGGTACTTCTGAGAATTCACGGTTTAGTTGCAAAATTTAAGAATAAAAGGTTATTACCTCTGATTTCTTGAGAATATGCTAAACAAATGACAATGATACATTTGTACGCACCCGTTTTATAAAGAAATTGTGATTAAACTTACTACCCAAGAAAGAAAAAGAAAAAGTTAATATCCAGATAAATAATGCAGTATGTGACAACTGTGGCGTAATTTCAAGATCTCATACCTCGGTCGAGTCAGAATGTTCAATTTTCTTTTAAGTTCCTGATGTTATTGCTTGTTAAGGCTCATCAACACTCATTAAAAAGTATCATCCTGCCATTAAGTTCAACCTTACTACGACTCTCACTTTCCGTACCAGAATGTTACAAACATAAAACTCCCAAATATTTTGAAGACGACACACCTGTTTGTTTACAAGCCAAGATACTCAACCTAAAAACCAAAACCAAAACACAGTTTTCATCCCTTTGAACATATATTCTAGGACACGATACTAATAATGTTCAAAAGAGACAAGCAGACTAAACCAAAAATGGTATTCAAACAACGGTATTCCCGGAATTGCTTAAACATCCAATTAGGACTGTTTTCCAAGTTAAAGGATCACAAGCGGTAAGTGCGGCCGAACAAACAACTACCGAAAAACCTAGAATGGAACCTATGAATGCTCACTGCACAGTTCTGTCAACTTTTTTTTTTAGTATTTCGAACATTCTGATAATAAATTGTCAAGGAAAATAGTACCATGCAAAAAAGACGTCAGATTTCAAAAACCTTAAAAGCTGTCTCAATACTAAACACGTTTAGGGCTCTTTACAAATTTTAAAAGGAAAGATCTGAACCAAAGTTATCTACGTATACGCGGTTTTAAAACCCTAAGAACGTAAATAAACGTAGCCGCAAATCAAAAAGTCTGTAATTGTGCGAACTGATTTGGCGCGTTCTCCGTAAAGTACTTCAATGCAAGGTAGCTCAAGGTGCAAGAACCCTGGAAACCAGTTCTCGATCTAAGGAACTAACCATTTCTCGCAGCCCGCCCCGATTCCCGAGACACCCAGCTGCAAGCGGGAACCCCCAGCGCCCGGCCCGCCACACGCACCGACCCAAGACCGAGGCACGCGGGGTCTCTACGCGCAGCCGGGTCGCGCGCGCCTCCCCGGAGCTC